GATTAATCGTGGCAGCCCTAGTGCCAAGCATCTTGAGGGACAGGTGAGGTGACCTCTGAACTACAGAAACCCAAACAGTGCACTGGTGGGGGAAAAAAAATCCAGATTTCCACAAAATTTAAACTTTAGAAATGTCAAATTTGAATTAATCGATTAAATCGATTTATCGCCCAACCCAACATCTCTAGTTTTGTTCATTTAAGCTTTTGCTTTGTTATATTCATCTTTAGCTTCTGCTTTGCTTGTTTTATCTGTTAATTACTGGTTTGCTTTATTTAGCTTTTTGCTACTGGTTAGCTAATGTTGTATACTGATGTGCTAATTTTAGCTTCCGYTAGTTTTATTTTCCATCTACTATTTTGGTAATACAGACTTGAGCTTTTGCTAATTTTAGCTTTTGCTTTGCTAATTTTCTTGGTTTTGTTATTTGTTACTATTAATTGTAAGTCTAGTATTTAGTTTTGAATCACCTCAGAGGACAAAAACTGCTCCCATACTTTTATTTATTTTCACTGCAAACTGTTCATTATTTATTTTTTAAAGATGTTTTTTTTATCTCCTTTCCAAACACAACATCTTAAACTGATGGATGAACAAGAGGAAGAGGAGGAGGAGGAGGAGGWGGAAGAGGGGGAGGAAGAGGAGGAGGAGGAGAGGACTCCAGCTCACGTTCTGATCACTCTGAATGTCTCTGTGAGGACACAGGAACAAATCGTCCTCGTGACTCATTTGCTCGTCCTGTGCAGACACAAAGACACCTGCGAACACCTTCACCTCATCATCAGTCCCTGCTGACACACACACACACACACACACACACACACACACACACACACACACACACACACACACACTGACGCAGCTCTGAAACATAACGACCCAAGTGCAAAAATGTGCAAACAAATGCACATAAACACAGAGGCTGAAGGTTTGTGCGAACGTTCAGGGGTTGAGGAGCTGTGTGCGTCTCCTACACGTGTTGTGTTGTGAGCCTGCACCCCTCTCTGAGTAATCTTCTAATAACCCGTGAAGCTCGGGGTTACTCTGGGTCACAGACGCTGCMGCAGCCAATCACAGGAAGTCACTTCAGTTTGGTCCAGAGTCATTCTGCAACTTTGACACAACGYTCCTGAGCTGCAAATCACGAGATATTTTGCTGACACAAACACTAACAAGCCTTTGAAACAAATACACGCAGCTGTTTTTGACAGCTAACGACTGTTATCTAAACAACAAGGACATTTGAAGAAAATAAATAAATAAATAAGATAATTAATCAGCAGCAGCAGAACAGGCTGAATGACTCTGAACATTTCCCTCTCAGACACACCAGAACATCCGTTTCTGCTCCGACAGGTGCTTCAGCTGCTGCACAAACCCATGTAAGGAGATCCTGTTCTGCTCCTCTCTCCTCCACGGCGACTAATTTCCAGCGAGAGCCTCRTCGCTCCGTCCATGGAGCTGTTCTCAACTTCTGCCCAGTTTCATAAGACACTCAGAGAGGGATTAACATGAGCTTTAAATATCTCCGCTGCAGCTTTTGTTTGGTTTTTACTTCAACACGTTCGTACCGACGCGAGCTGTGACAGATGGTCAAAATATCAAATAAATATGAGGCGACTGCTGAGCTGAATAATAACACGGTTAATGTGGACTGCCAGGTGGTGCTGGGAGGCAGCAGAGATAAAAATAAAATAAAAATAAAAAATGCTGTAACCAAACAGCATCAAACTCACCAGTGCTGGGCAGGTTGCAACAGACGAGAGAAAAAGTTAATCTAATGGATTTTAATTGGATTAATTAGACATAATTCATTTGTTTGCAGATCGAGGCTAAATCAAAATGTGATATTAATCATGTCAACGAGTTCTGAAAGTCCTCAGTGCCACTGTGCACGCTCAAACTTTATATTAAAGCAGGTGGTAATAAATTAAACAGTGCAGTTAGTTTTCTAGAAGAACTGATGCAACATCTGAAATGTGGGTACGCGCTCAACGTAAACAACCAGAAAACCACTTGAGTCATGTGATCGACCTTCGTTTAGCTTCTGTTAGTCACTTCGGCTGTTTCTGGAGTAAACAAATTTTCTTACAACTTTTTAATTTAAAGGACATAAACGATCAGATTGAGTTTGACAGTTTTTTTTTGCGTCGTTTTCCTGACTCGGTTATTACTTCATCAAATGTTAGCTCAAATCAATTTATCTATAGCGGATGTGCAACACAAAGTGCTTTAAACCAGCTAAAGAAACAGCACCAAAAACGCGAACAAGGTTAATTAAAAAAACAGTAATAAGCTGCAAAACTATTAAAGCCAAAACAGGAGTTTTCAGTGTTTTTGATTTTAGTTTTAGTTAAATATATTCCACAGCCAAATTCTATTCGTCATGTTTTGTTGGCAACAATTTTGAACATACGGAATTTGGTTATTCCGTATGTTGCGGGTGTTTCGGAGAAACTGAGACGTTTATTTTCTAAACATGATGTCCCAGTAGCTTTCAAAGCCCAAAACACATTACGGCAAAGGCTGGTTCACCCCAAAGATCCGGTGCCCCGGCACAAACAGAGCAATRTTGTATATGCTGTTAAGTGCCAGGAGGACTGCGACCAGTTATACATCGGGGAAACAAAGCAACCACTGTTCAAAAGAATGTCCCAACACAGACGAGCTACATCTAATGGCCAGAACTCTGCAGTTTTCACTCATTTACAGGCCAGCGGTCACTCTTTCAGAGATGAGGATGTTCTCATTCTTGATAGAGAGGAACGTTGGTTTGAGAGAGGAGTAAAAGAAGCCATTTTTGTGAAGACCGTCCATCATTAAACATAGGTGGAGGCCTCCGTTTTCAGTTGTCCCCCTCCTAAAGTGCGGCTATTGCCAGTATCACTCCACCCCCTGTTAACAATAGGTGTTAATTAGGTGTCAACGATAGCCATGTGATGTGAGTATCAGTCACATGGAGGCAGGGCTTAAAAGCCTGAATTTTGCCTGAAACTCTCAGACTGAAGAAGTCTCTTGGAGGAGAGACGAAACGTTTCATTAGAGAAGAACCCGTCCAGAAGACCCATAACAATTTTTTTCTTTTTGTTTTTTTACCTGGATTACTGAGATGCATCAGGACAACAATTTTGAGTTGTTTGTTGACGTGTACACGTTGGATATTGATTTGTTTTAAAAAAAAATCACCGGATGTAAACAGAGTCAGGAGAACGATGGAGTCAGAGACACCGATCAAAGTTCAAAACCTGTAAGGATTTATCAGTTTTTAGTAAAATCAGAATAACTGACCCAGAGGACCTGTGGGATCTGATCAGATAATATTCTGGTAGTACTAGGACTATAAAAAGACCTGAATCCTCCAGTTTTACATGGGTCAAACTAACCGTTGGGACCTCAGGGTTCAGATTAATCCAGGTACAGCAGGAGGGTTAAAAAAGCAGCTCAATATTTGTAAAACCAGCTGAGTTATGGTTATATTTGTGTTTGCCTGTGTCTCAATTTGTTCTGCGAGGGGAGAGTTAATGAGGCGGATGGGTGAATTTCTGCTTCAGGACGCAGGCAGGACGTAAACAGAGCGACTGAAGTGAGAGTTTCCCCTCCACGCCGTCACCGACCCAACAGAATTCGATGCCTCGGTCTCTGTACCGGAAAACAGGATGGGAAGAGTACGCCGACCGCTCCGGTCCCGTTTCTTCTCTCGTTCGTGCACCGACTCTGCCAGAGTTATATCACCATGTTAGTTACATAAACAATCAATACGAGCCCATCACAACACTAAACACACGATCAAAAAGTAATCAAGTTTGAACTCTGGCTGAGGTGACTACCTCACTGATTAKTCCCCATGTTTGTGTGTCTGTTAGCAAAATATCCCATGGACATACTTCAATGAAACTTTCAGGAAATAACCACTGATTACATATCTATAAATGACTAATTATTTGCAGTAATTTAAAATGGCCACCAGAGTCAGGTGATAATAAAAACAACACAAAACTGATATAATTCAGTCAGTTTGACAGGTATTGAGCTAATATTAGCTGTGGTTTCAGCTGAGAGTAATTCACAACACATACTGTTTCCAGCTTTTAGCTGTTGAGCATCTCTGGTTGTTTTTTTTATGTATTTGCATAAGTTTTGTTTATCTTTGTGCTCATTTCCATGTCTTGTGCTCTTGATTTGTATCACTTGTGTTTCCTGATGTCTTTCTGTTTGAGTTATTAAACGTTCTGAAGTTAATTTGAGACATTAGAAGTCTTTATTTATTTATTGTGAGTAATTAAAATAATTACTATCACGTAATTAGATTAAACATTGGGGGGGGAAGAGACAGCACTGGACCTGATGATTGTTAGCTAAAGGCTAATGTTGTTAGCTTGACCAAAAATAACAGTTCAACAGTGTCACAATTTCACTTTTATCTGCTTTGATAGGAATTAATTTCGAAGTTAGGCTCACTGTGAACTGGTTAAATAGTTCCTAAAACTGTTTAATATTTTTAGTATTCATCCGCCACACGGAGGTATAAAACGACATCAATAATCCGCACATTACGACCCCCGAAGACGACGACAGGACAAACGATGGACACGATAAAACACCTTTTGTTTTCAAAGACATGATACAAATAAACAGAGATTAAAAAAATAAAATAATTGTTCTCACCCAGCACGCAAATCGTAGCAAAGTTTCATGAACACGGAGGTTTATCCTTCAGTACACCTGCTGCTCAGGACGGTCAAATTAGCTTCTCAACAACCCCTCCATCTCGGTCCCCCCTCACAAAAATAAAATAAAATTGTATAAAACCCAGTCCAAACGTCGAGTCCGCGGTGTGTATGTAGCCAGAAATAAAAACAGATACCAGATATCTCCTCTTTCAGGAGAGCTGCCTCTACAGAACCCCGTTTCTGGTTCGCAGAAATGACAAGAGAAGATAACGGCTTCCTTCTTAAAGGGGTCGCGGTTGTATGGCAGGCCGTTGTAGTATATAATTTAAACCATAGTTTGACATCAGCAACCAGTGTTTTATTAAGTACCTCAAAGTGAAACTTGAGTAAAAGTACAAGTATCTTACCATAAAATTACTTTGCTAAAAGTTCAAGTCTCCTCTAAGAATATTACTTGAGTAAAAGTCTTAAATTATCTAATTTATTTTGTACTTAAGTTTCAAAACTAAATTTCTGACATAAAATGTACATAAGTATTAAAAGTAAAAACATTGAGTAAAAATGAGTGGTAAGATTTTCCAAAATGACTTTTATTGGGAGGTGACACTCTCAAAAAAGTTTTTCTACTGGCCAAAATGATTATAATGTCATATAAAAATGTTAATTTTACAAAATTTAGGAAGCACTAGTCTACCT